CCCCACTTGCCCCCCACCTCCGCCACACTCCTGTCCCCCCTCAGCTTTCCTTCGGTCACCTCTATCTCCCTCCCTCTCTCAGAGGTGCTCGTGACAGCTGCTCCCATTACTGACCACTTGGGTGTGTGTGCAGCAACAGCCCATTTCACCCCCAAACCATCGGCTTCCAGGTAGGTCCTTTTACCGTCTTTGGTTTGGGACTGAGACTCGGGTGTTCTCCAGCTCTGTCCGGGTCTCTCAACGGCACCCCTTCCTGCCTCCAGCCTCCAGCTAAGGCGAGACCCTGGCGCAGGCCGGCCCTGGGTGCCACCTTCTCTCCTGGACCCCCCCATACCCTGACCACAGCGCCCCCCTCCCGTGCCAGCTCATTGGGGGACAGACCCAGTGACACGTACCCATGAGCAGCAGCTGAGGTTGAGCGGCTGTGCTCAGTCTTTGTGGGGTTCACAGTCTAGAAGGGGCTTTTCTCTTGACAAGGGGGCACCCTGCCCTGTGTGGGTCTGAACTCTACCTCCAACCAACTCTGCCTCCTGTCTGTCTGCCTTCCCTGTTTCTGCATTAGCACCACCAGCTTCCAGAAGCTTCCACACTCTCAAAGCTTGTGTGAAGGACATCCCCTTCCTTGGCAGACAGAACCCCGACTCCAAGGCTCAGCTTCAGAGGAGTCTCCCAGGAGAGCAGGGCTGCCCCCCCCCCCGCCCCAGGCCTTGACTGCTCCCCATTATCTTTCCAGTCTCTCTCTAGTGGCAGCTGACAACTCTTGGCCCCAGATGAGGTGAGCCCCTCCTGTTACTGTGGCCAAGACCAGGTTCTTAGCAGCACAGCCAAGACAGAGTAGAACTCTCAGCACACATGTTGCCGAAACCCAAAGGCGACAAAACCCAGGCTTAGAAGCAGCATCAAAGCAAGGAAGAAATACTCTCCCACCTCCTCTCGCCCAGAAGGGTTCTCTGCTGCCTGTGGCATCCGTGGTCTCGCCACAGGTGACTCCTGCTCTCAGGGTCCTTGGCTGTTTTTCTCCCTTAAAGACTAGGGTAGCCGGTCAAACGGTGGCTCCCCCAAAGATAAGTTCACCTCCTAATCCCCAGCCTGCCCGTGTTCCCATATTTGGAAACGGGGCCTTTGCAGGGGTAATCAAGTTAAGGATCTCAGACCAGGAGATCATCCTGGATTATCGCGGGGGCCCACACAGGATTCAGACAGGAGGAGGAGGAGGCAGAAACTGGGGTGACGCATACAAGTCAGGGAGCCCCGTCTCCCTGAGTGAGGAGGGAGCAGCCCTGCCATGCCTTGATTTTGGACTTTGGGCCCCAGAACTTTGAGAACACTCTGCCCTTCAGCGGTGGTCACTTTTGACCCCACGCAAAAGCTGCCTCACGAACGAAGCCTGTGGTGTTCTGGGGTCACCCTGCCTATCCCGCTCCTCCACCGCAGGAGGCAGGTCTGCCCGGCTGGGCTGCATGCTGGACTAGGGTCCCTATTCCCGGAGGCCGCCTGGGCAGCTCCAGCCGGCCTCACATGCTATTAAAACGGCCACAAACTGCTCCTTCTGCTGCCCACATCTGAGTGGCACAGCTCCCTCCTGCCTGCCACCTCCCTGCCTCCTCCCTCCCCCACCTCCTCCCTGGAGAGGAGAGCTGACCTCTAGGGCACAGGGCCCATGCTGAGGAGTGGAGGGAACACAGAAGCCGCTTTCTCACGCAAGTCCCTGTGTCTGTGTGGAGGCTACATTTTCAGCAAAAGATTCCAGGGGCTGTCTGCCCGTGAGGTGTAGCTGGGCCAGGCTCCCTCCTAGCTTTGGGGTGACACATTCCAGCTGGTGGTGACAGTGGTCAGCCTGTTCCAAATGGGGTTCTACAAGAACCCCAAGCGGGGGGTCTGTCAGTTCTATCCCTCCTAATGTATCACCTTGAAATTCTAGCATCATTATTTTATATCACCCCAATGTTGCCAGAGGCCCTGGGAGCCACAGCCGGGAATTTGGGCCAGTGCCCTCGCGGCACAGGGACTGAGGTTCCGTAACAATGACCGGTGTCACACGGCACCGCGCCCGTGACCAGCTGTGGACCTGACCATCACTGTCCACTGCTTGGCTTCAGCAGCATGGGGCTCAGCAGATGCGCCCCATATCACAGCTTCCTGACAGGCAGCCCTCACGCCTCCCCTGCTGTGACACACACTCCCTTACCTGGCCTCCGCCTACCCCCTCACCGTCTCCTGCCCAACGTGCTTCTCATACACGGCTTCACTGAAACAATGCATTCCCTAAATGGGGGTGTTCGCACCTCTTCTGGAACGCCTACACCCCCTTCTTGGCCACTGAAAACCCACGCAAGGTTTATCTCTGCAGGCACGCATTTCATTTCCCCAGCCTGAGTTAGGGTGCCTGTCTCAGCTCCGACTGGTGGCTGCTGCTTCCTCGCACCCCTGGAGGCTGGGCGTCGCCTCTGGAGGCTGGACGTCCCAGCTCAAGGTGCCTGGCCATCAGGAGGGCCTCCTCCTGGCCTGCAGGCACCGCCTTCTCTGTGTCCTCCAGGCGGGAAAGGAGCTCTCTCCTCTGTGATGCGACTCTAATCCCATCACCTCCTCCAACCCTACTCCCCTCCCCAAGGTCTCCTGCTAACTACTTCACCTTGGGGATTAGAGTCATGTAACACATGGATGGGGAGCAATGGGGAGCATATTCTGACCTAGCGCCTGCTCCTGCTATTTGAACTGGGATCTGTGTTTGAGCTGTTGGTGACGTGTCTCTTAAGTTTCGTATATCAACACTGAACCAGTTCCCCTCCAATTCTTTATTTTTCTTTTAAGATTTACTTATTTGTGCATACAGAACTGGGGTACAGGCCAGAGGTACAGGGGCGGCAAGAGGCTTCACCAGAGACAGAGTGGGGAACAGAACAGGTAGATCGACGAAGTACACTGCTGAGGGGAGCAGCGGGCGGGTCAGGAGAGGTCTGCCTCGCCATGTGGTCACCTCCGGGGCAGGCGGGGATCGAACTCATGCGGAAGCGGCTTTACCTTCTCAGTGCAGTGCTTTAACCCGCTGCGCCACCAGGGAGGGACCACCAGTTCCTTTTTAAAAGTATTTTATTTATTTAACTTGATTTTTTTTCTGCCTTTTTTTACGATGGCATTTTCAGAAGCACACAGGAGGCGAGAACTGCCTGCCATCCTCCATTTCCTTTGGTAGTTGCTTTCCAACTCAGTTGAAGAAACTGATTCATTTATCTTGCAGATTTCTCAGGGGTCAATGACATCCCTATGATGTCACTGAATGTGTCCTTTTGTTCTTGTATTTCCTACAAATTGGTGCTAAGGTCTAGATTTTGGTCATACTCAGGTTTGTTTATTTAGACATGATACTTTATAGAGGGTGCCCAAGGCTTTCATCATATTTCATCAGCCATGGATGACAATTGCTGGATTATAGTTCTTAACTTGTTTGCTCTTTGAAACCCTTATTCTTAAATATATATTTTTAAAGATTTATTTATTTATTTGTGCATACAGAACTGGGGTACAGGCCAGAAGCTCAAGGGGCGGTGAGAGGCTTCACCAGAGACAGAGTGGGGAGCAGGCAGATCACCGAAGTACACTGCTGAGGGGAGCAGCGGGCGGGTCAGGAGAGGTCTGCCGCGCCATGTGGATCATCTCCGGGGCAGGCGGGAATCGAACTCATACGGAAGGGCTTTAGATTCTCAGTGCTGTGCTTTAACCCGCTGCGCCACCTGGGAGGGCCTATTCTTAAACATTTTTGAGGGCCCTAAGGAGTTTTTATTTATGAGTTTTATGAGTTTTATTTTTATCTATTGGCATTTGCCTCATTGGAAATGTATTACAAATTCTTACTAGAAATTTTAAAACTATTAATTTCATTTAAAATAAATAGTCCATTATTTGTTACAAAATACAATTTTATATGAAAATAACCATTTTTCAAATCAAAAAATAAGTACAGTGGAATTGTCTTACATTTTTGCAAATCTCTTGAAAGTCTGAACTCTCATCTCTTCTGCTTTCAGTCAGCCTCTGTCACATGTTGCTTTGATAGAAATAGATGAACAAAATCCTGGGGCCTCATGGCTCCCTGGGCCCGGAGCCACACTTTTTTTTTTTTTTTTTAGATATATTTATTTATGCATACAGAACTGGGGTACAGGCCAGAGGTGCCGGGGCTGGGGGTGAGTGAGAGGATCCACCGGAGACAGAGTGGGGAGCAGAACAGGTGGATCTTCTGAAATACACTGCTGAGGGGAGCAGAAGGAGCGTTGAGGAGGGGTCTGCCACGCCATGAGGTCACCTTCCTGGCCGGGGATGGATCTGGGGCGGCAGCGGCTGCTATAGCTTCACAGAGCTGCGCTTTACCCCGTGTGCCACCAGGGAGGGCCCGGGACCCACATTCCAAAGACCTGCTGATCAGACAGTTGCTTCTTTAAGGACTTCAGAGTGGTGATAGTCTAATTCCGCCGTAACTCCTCCCTTATTAGCAACACTAATATAGAGTGTCTGTTCAGCTGGTATTTGCTCCTTGACATAGTTCATGTAGGAAACATGGATGCACACGTGACTCTTGTAATTTTCAGGAGCTGAGGGGGAAGAGTGGAATAGTCACAGACTTTATTCATGGCAGCTGTTACTCTCATTGACAGTCAAAATGTCTCACCTGTTACCAGTTAACGTTTATTCAGGTCAGCTCTGGAGTTATTTTGACACAACCCTGTTGTTCCTTGAGAGCATCTTTGCTTTCTGTATGACAAATTCTAGGTTAATTTTGGACATTTCATGCCTCATACCTAGAATCAACTATTTCTCCAAGGACGTCTGCTTTTTTTGGTGGGAGTTTTCAGAGTCCAGAATTTCTTCTCGTTGCTACTGGGTCAGTGTTTATTTCTAGCCCTTTTCAGTCAGGAAATAGTTATCTTGAAGAATGATTTTAAAAATAAATTATTCTTTAAAAAAAAAGATTGATTTATTTATGCATACAAGATTTGAGGTACAGGCCAAAGGTGTGTGTGTGGGGTGGTGAGAGAATTCACCAGGGATAGCGTGGGGGGCAGAACAGGCAGACTGACTGAAATACACTGCTGAGGGGAGCAGCGGGGGAGATGGGAGAGGTCTGCTGCGCCATGTGGGTCACTTCCCTGGCCAGGGAAGGCTGCAGTGGCCA